CGTGTGTCCAATTTGTTTGTGTGACGGCTGGGCGGCTGGTGTGCGGTGGTTGTCGCCCGTGAACTGCGAGGCCACAGACGACCGAAAAGCGACAGAGTGCTGGCAGCGTGTCACTATCATCTGCCCCGGTTGCAGGTTGCCCGGTCTCCACGTACAGACTCGAAGTGTCCGCGAGTGGCCCCCTCTTCCGGTCTTTGTGTCTCGGGTCGCAGGCGAGGAAGCAGCACTTTTGTGCCAAGGTGATAAACCGAGGCTGGCCGATCTCGCCATCTTCGTGGCCCGATTCTGCCACCGCTTGCTCCGGCATGTATCACCAACGCCACACACATGCCCGATTCTCCCACAAGACCCCGCCCTCCTCGGTCCTCGGACGCTCTGATTGGGTCTGTCACCCACCCACTATTCGTCTTAACCTTGCGCTTCGGTCAGATCAATGGCATCAGAAATGGTGTGTTGCTGCCAACGGTAGATGGATTCGCGTTTTTCCAAGTCACCGAAAGCCGTCTCGTGTGCCCGGCATGGGCCGATTGGGCGAAATAATCGGGTCAAATGTACACGTTTCCATAACGGAACGACCACGGGTTAGAGAACAAAGTCAGCCCTGTCCGCCATGAGACATAAAGCTTGGCAGCAGTGAAGAAGAAAAAGCACACCAGAATAACGAAATAAAGCATTTTCGTCATATGTAAATATAAATGCTATATCATACGATGAAGTGAATTTCATACTTTGCGCACTCTCAGGTTGTACTGCATTAAAACATCCACCTATCAACCGTCCAACCAAGCCACACATACAGCTATCCACATGTCATCTAAAAACACCTCCCTTCACCACATGCCACCCACCTACTTACCAACCTACATACCAACTACCCATACAACGGCCCATTTTCTTATCAACCCACCTAACCACCAGCCTACACGTCTATGAATCTGCCCATTTATATGTCTCCAGAATAACCTCCCAGATTGGCTATCGCCTATCTATCTATCCAGTAAGCTCCACTTATCTAAGTGTCCACCCACCCATAATTCTCGATTAATAGCTATTTCCAACCTGAGAATATATATATATATATATATATGGGAAAAGTGGGCACAATGTGGAGAGATACTACTTAAGTAGATGGACAGTCAGAAGAGAATTTGAATATATATGGGAAAATTGGACACAATGTGGA